TAAACTCTGATTTTAACTTTGACTGTGATATTGAAATCTATAATAGATGACATTATTAAATTAGGAAATATTTTAATGACTTTTCTTAAATTAGAAGAGGTAGAATTGTTGTGTGTGTTAATTGAAGAGAGTTACATCTTCATAAATCATCTAAATGAAGTTTGACAAAACTGGGGAAGTGTTTACCATATATCATGTATTTCTAGGTGGGAGCAGGGCTCACATAGTCATATTCAGAAGGGGTGCAGGAGAGAATACCATATTCTTACTTATTTTTTTTATGTGTATTTAAAGAGCTTATGAATTCCACTTTAAGAGGAAATATTGAAAATGTTAACAGTATATTGCTCTTATTACAGGCAATTATGGGACTTGTTACTACAGCATCAGTTTTCATGAGTACCAAAAAATGAATTCCATTTGCTTGTTACAAATAAATAATATCCTAGAGAACAGAGCTTTAATTCATCTTGTATACATGGACACAATGGTAATAAAGAAAAATATTTACTGTTTTGCTCTCAACTAGTAAACTGGAGGAAACTAATTTCAGCAAAAGAGCTCATGACTATGCTCTACAAGGGACTCTTAAATACAGCATTGATATTGCATTAAGTATCCAGTGTAATTATGATATAAATTGTTCATACATATGTCTTTTCACTGGTTCCAGTGAAGTACAACATTAAGGCTAGAAAAGACACTTGACACACTGAGCATTGAAATAAGAGACTGACTAGCATGATTAATTCTTCAGTTTCTGCTCTATAGTATTTCAAATTATTCCAGAAATTCCATATTTATCAGTTAAATGAGATTCTGGCAGTTAAACAGTAACTGAGCAAGATCTGAATGTTTCATGAACGTTTGTATGTTACATGTTGTCTATAAGACATCTGGGCAAGGCAAGAAAATTGTGCCTTGAAACTTTCACTTTTCTTGTAGCAGAAGAATGCAGGACAGTCCAGTTCCAGTAGCTTTAAGAGTGTGCTGTGAATTATTATGAGTTCTTCAGAAATTCACATAATGGAATCAGAAAACAATATTAAATAAACTGTGCGGATTAAAATAATATATATCCAGATCAGAGACATAATTTACAGTATGTACCATTTACAAAACATGAGGCAGAATTGGGACTTCTTCTAAATTAAATGTAAAACAGAGAAGCTGAAGCAGAGGGAGTTACTCGTAGTAGTATACAGAGGGTTTGAGAGGAAATGCAGTGCATTGTTAAAGAGGGAAAACCATGCAGTGTGCCACAAAAGGAGGAGGGAGAAGGGAACTCAAAACAAGCAGAAATAAATTTAATAACTATGTAATTTGTGGAACAGTTAATGAATTTCATGTTGCTGAATGTCAGTGTTTAACACTAAAAGCATTACTTTCAATTCTGAAGAACAGAATTTACAGGGATATACAAGAGCCCTGTGACACTGTTAGGAAGTTGGGCTTCAGAAAGAAGAAATTTAGTAAAGTAAGTAAAAGTAAAGCTATCCCTGCAAGAGGCTGTGAAGGCACATAGGGTTGTGAGACGTTGAGGCTCCCACATTATCTAGACAATCGGCTCAAATATGGCGGTAAGGTTGTCAGCCTTATGTGCTGGCTGCACTTTACTCCCCAGGAAAATTATTATTTAATTCCTGGTACTCATTTCTGTTAGAGGCTGAGTAAACCCCAGGGCCTAGTGCGGCCAGAAGGATTAGGGATAGTCAAAATATTCTGATAGAACTGTTATGTATTCTTGAATTGTGGTTATCCTGTTTGACAATATTAAGAATTGCAGGCAGTAGGGTTAGCCAATAATTTACAATGGTGAGACATCCATGCAGGTGACTGTCATTGTATGTGCTTATGTTATCTGCATTTTTGCCTGTCCTCAGTTTTATTTGTGTCCTGAAAAGCACGTAGTCATGGTAGGAGTTGCCACACATACCCACTGAGTTTTGTGCAGTTTTGCTGACCCTCCTGGCCTTTTTGTCTCATTATGTCACTTCCTACTCCACCTGCTCAATGTTTGCTCAGTTCTCTTGTTTTTTCACTTTCAATATATATTTTATATGTAAAAAAATTAATCTGTTGAAAATATGGATGGGAAGCGGAAACATGGATCTAGGAATGAAAACATGAATGTGAAGAAACAGGCCATAATTTCCCATTCATTGGAAGTAAAATGGGAAGTTGTAAATTTGATAGAGGTACTGATAATCAAAAGGGCATGGAACTGACTGGTTCTGCAGTGAGAACTGTTTATGAGGATACTGATAGAGTATGTAAGAGCACTCAGTTGACCGTGAACCTCAGTGTTTGTTGTAAAATCATGGTCTCATGCAACAGAGAAAGTAGAGAGGATATTGTTTATGTGGGTCAGCCATCAGAAGCAATAGTCTCGGGGGAAGTCATTCAAGGAAAGCCTGGAGTTTGAATGAATACCTGACAAAAAAAAAAAGGAGCAGATACCTCATGCTGCAAGTTTGGGATGGTTTGTTTTTTTTTATACATTGCCACGCATTCCACAATTTGAAGATGATTGGTGCGACTGCAGCTGCAAATCACATTGGTGCTAAAGAATTCCCTATTCTCTTCAAAGCCGTAACTTCAGAAGGAGCTTACACACTGACACCAGTATTTAACTACACTGAAACAGATTTGTTGTCGAAGCATATGAATGAAATAGAAGATAACACCTGAGTTTAAAGGTGATAAAAACCACAGAATGCCCTCATTGGGATGAAACCCTTCTGGGAACTACAAATGAAAGTCCCTTGTCGTGTATGACACAAAATCCATGGGCACTGAAGGCATGCATGAAATGAATATGCCTGTTGTTTGGAAGGGGAGTGAGAAGGACTGGATGACATCTATTTTCAAGAGAACTGGCTGTAAGAGGAACTTGAGGCATACTGTAAGAGGAGAACATTCCTTTCAAATTTCTTGTTCTGGATAATGCTTGTGATGACCCACCATATGTTCCTGATCTTAGTGACAATATGGTGGTGTTTCTTCCTCACATCATCATATTGCTTCTCCAGCTGATGGATCAAGGAGTTGTAGCAAACTTTAAAGGCAGTGGCAGACCTTTTTCTTCTGTTGTGATATGTTTGAGAAGTAAAGGTATTAATGTGTTTTAAATCGCAAAGATCAAAATCTTGAGCATTCATGAACATAGCCCTTATTATTATATGTTAAATGTTTTCAGTTGTATGCATTTTTTACACACACAGTGATTTTTGGGAATGAACTCCTGTGTATGGTGAGAATCACCTGTGCAGGCTTCTTATATGCAACTACACAGTGAAATCTTCTTGCGTCTATTTTGAAGGGCCAACATGCTGGTAGTGAAGACAAGTGAATTTAAAGTGCTGTACTAATATTTACGTCATATCAGAAATCCTGTGATGATCATTATGACATGAAATTTTGTAATTATGAGAAGGGACCCAGTGCATATCATTCTAAGTCTACCTTGCGACTCTGTTCTAGTTACTGATGATTCATAGGTAATGCAACATGTTACAGTTACACAAAACAGGTGTATGGAAAATGTATGTTTTGCAGTAGGCTAGTAGCTAGAAGTTAACAGCCAGCCTCTCTTTATCTTGCCGCTACTCCTATTCCACTCTCCTACACTTTTTGGTGACTGGTTTTGATGGATGTATAAGATAATTGTGATTCTAGAGCAGAAGAGTTTTTGTTCCATGTTGTTATGAACATTTTACTTAAGTTTCTGGGATGGCATGCTTCACATCTAATATTTTAGGGGGAGCTGATGCCCCTTTATCTTGTACACTCTGCTGCTTCTAGATGAGGGTACTGTGTAGATATAGGTGCTCTTAATTTTGTATGTTGATTGACTGACAGGTTGAATTTGAATGTGTGTAAGTGTGATGATGCTTACATAATATAGTTCAGAACCCCCCTTCCCTCAAAAAGGTTTTTAATGGCTATATCTAATTAAACAGGGTACAGGGTAAAGAGCAGTATCATGTTGAAAAATCAGATATGTTTGCAGCTTTGGAAAACTTATACATTGAAGTGGATATTAATAAAGCTTGGGAAACCATTAAAATATCAAAATTTCAGCCAAAGATAATTTGTGTTATTGTGAACTGAAGAAGCATAAGCAATGGTTTGATGAAGGATACTTAGAATTATTAGGTCAAAGGAAACAAGCCAAATTGCAGTGGTTACAGGATCAAAGCAAAGTAAATGGGGATAATATGAACAATCTAAGACATGAAGCCAGCAGGCAGTTCAAGAATCATGTCTGATTCATATATGTGTGTGAAGTTGACCACTGACTGCTATCTAATGCTAAGGTCAAGAATGGCAGAGCTATACCTCAACTCCCCCATATGTCTACATGGCGCAATACATAATTAATTAATTAAGCACAGGGACAATTTTACCTTATTTGCCTGTTTCATAAATTCCTCCTGTCTAAACCATTGCAATTGTTAGGGCATTGTTAATTAAGCAGGTAGGTCAGTCAGTAAGATACATGACATTCAATTCTCCTTTCTTTATGCATGAAATGTTTAAATACTTGGTTTTACCAGAATTCAGAAAACATAACGGAATGTTTTGAAACTGCCTGTACTGTTACTTGGCAATCTACATGGACCAATAGTATGAAAGTAATGTTAAAATGGAAGTCACCAAGTGTAACAGAATTACAATTGTTAGAAGAAAACATGCATGATGTATACAGAACAATTTTCAGCACATATGAGCCAGGTTAGCTTAGTCAAGGAAGTACTACAGACTGGAAGGCAATGGTTCCATTCCTGGTAGAGGTGCTGAAGGTATCAGGTGGGTGCTGGAAGCTCTTTTCCTGGCATAAGGAGGCCACTAATGAAAGATTACTCCTGTCAGTCTTCTGCTGAGATCTATAATTCTTGAAATCCCTCCTGATGCTCCATATGTCTTCATGTCATGGTGCTTGGGCATAAGGCAACTTCACCTTATGGTTCTTATAGCAGGCGTATGTGTTATTATAGGTTGGGGCTGGAATTCTGGACAGAGCAGTCCCACATCAAGCAAAGACTTCAAGAAGTTAGTTGTCATTCGCATGGCAGGAGCAGGGGCTGCTGCTGCAGGTGTAACTGCAGGGACAGGCCATGTCGAGGACAAGGTTGACTCACCCACAGGTGAGAAGAGAAGGAATACTTCACAGTTGTTCATTATTGTCTTACTAAGTGACTCTCCTCAGCAAGTTCACACATTCATACTTTATTTCTCTGAGATTGCTTACATCCTTATTATCCTCCCATATTTGCGTTGCTCTTCAAATGGTCTTGCCATTAAGGTTTTTGATCAGACTTTTGTACATATTTCTCATTTCCTCTTGGCATCTTATCCTATTGCTTCTGGTATCTTCATTACAACAGTCTTGTTGCTGTTACTACTGAAACCCAAGTCCTGGCAGTGTGTTGACAGTCAACTATAATTAGTGCAGTAGGGTTGACTCTGAACCTGTCAGCCAGTCATTGAGCTACAAGCACTGTTTGAAAAAAATCCTATTCAGATCCCATCCAGGACTATCATTCTGATTCAGATTGTTCATACTTTTCTTTGTCGTGACAAATTATAATGCTGTACAACACAAGAAACTGTTCTCTAAACATTACAGTTTTAATGATATTTGTGATTTTGTTTCGGTGTTGCCTACTAATACAATTTTATTTTTAAATAACCTGGAAATGAATGAACCAAAAGGAAATAAGATGAAAATGGTAGTATTTGATTTAAACGAAAAAAAAACAAAAAAACATTAAAACTAACTCATGTTGTAATGTATCTGCATTCTCTGCATAAAATGCACAAACTAAATGTATGTGGGAGAGGTTGCATTTGTTACAAGTACTAAACTACAGAGCAGATTTTCTTAAATCTGCATTTTCATTTAGTATGTTGTTTGATTTTTCTACATTGCCTTTTTTTTTTTTAGTACAAATTTTATAATTTAAAAATTACCAAAGATTGATTAATTCCATCCAGTGTGACTGATGAAGTTTTTTTCTTTTTAATCTTTTATCCTTTACATGTTTTGCTTCTATAGACTCCTCAGAAGGATATCAGTCAAATACAAATCAGACTTTATCATTTCATTTTCAGAATGCATTGCAAGGGGTGTACCAGTAAGGTAGTAGAATTATATATGACGCAAGTTATTTCTATGAAAGAAGGCAATAATTTCATACTTTTGTATTCTGATAACTCTGCTTACAGGGCGCAGCTTGTCTGGTTTGAATGCCAGCTGCAAACGTGTGTGTACAGATGTTGTAAGTGCTACAAAGAAAGTATGTTTGGAAGGTGGACAACGTGTATGGGAGAAAGAGGCAGAGAGAGCTGAGGAGCAGATGTCGAGTCCAATTTCAGTTGACACAGGATCTGCTGCCACAAACCATAAGAAAGTGGACACCAAACTGTGTTCAAAATATCCTGAACTTTTTGAGCCCCACACATTTGCCCCAAAGGATTTGTTGGCCCTGCTGAAAAATCTTGAAAATGAGATTAGTGTCTGTGAAGTGAATTTGCGTGATGAAAATGACAAACGTAAAAAATATAAGGTGAGATAATTTTAATATTGATTTTGTTAGCTTATGTTCTTTTCTTTAAAAAGGAAAAGATTAGTGTTGTGTGTTCACTATGATTTTGGTATATGTGTCCTGTCCTTCAATTTTTTAATCACTATCAGTTTTCATGAAATTTTATATGGATAGTATGTCATTGGAGGTAACCACATCATCCTGCTTTTAGATATCGTATGATCGGTAATTACACCTTTGTTTATGCTTGAACAAGTGAGGTGGGAGGAACAGTAGTGTTGCAAGCAAGGAAGCAAGCAGAGCTCTGCTTTCTGCCTGTTTCATGCTGATTCCTTGCTTGGCTTACTCTTTTACTCTGAAAATGGGCCCAGTATGCTTCTCCAAAACGTCAGTTTGCTTTCAGCGGACTGCACAGCATTATATGACAGAAGGTAGAACTCTTTATGAAGTATCTCATTCAGATGTCAGCAAAGGACCCGAGCTATAGAATTCAAGAAATACTTGTAGAGTGAAAGAGAGCATGGAAGAAGCTGACAAATTACTTACATAAATGCTTGAAACAGAAGGTCTGAACCCTTCTGAACTGAATCATTTAATTTATAAAATGGCAACAGTAATAGTGAAAACACTGGGTGGGCCAAGGTAAAGAAAGGAGAGCCCTATACTGCTGCCTTGGCAAAGGAGTATACAAATAAAATATTGATAAGGTTAGAAAAGACATTTATAATGTTAGTGGAAATTAAAAAACATGTAAAAAGGATAACTGAAAATTGAAAGAAATGAAAAATATAAAATAATAAATGGTGAAGACTGAGATGTAGTTGTAGAGGATGTGAAAGAGAAAATTTCAGCCCAGGGTCAGTGTCCTAGGATGTACAAGGGAGAGGCAGTAAATATGTCACAAATCGATATAAAATGTAAAACGTGATATTTGAATCCTGAAAAAACGTTCGTTTCTCGACATGTCCTCCACTAATATTGATACAGTTGTCCCATCGCTTTACCAGTGTCGAAAGCCACAGCTTAAGAGTCTTTTTGACTGTTGTCTCAGCCACTTCTGCACCACTGTTTTGACCTCTTTGTCATCAGTGAAACATTTGCCACTGAGGTGGTTTTTTAGTGGACCAAACAGATGGAAGTCACTAGGGGCTATGTCTGGACTGTAAGGTGGATATTCAAGAAGTACCCACTGTAGTTCTTGAACTCCCTCCCGGTTTGCTTTGGGCTGTATGGGATCTGGCGTTGTCATGATGAAGCAGTTCCCCTCTTGCCAATTGGCCTGGTTGTTTTCTGTGAATTGCATCCCGAAGTTTCAACAGGACTTCACAGTATGATGCAGAATTTACAATTTCACCACACTTCTGAAAATGGGCTAACAGTACTCCCTGAGAATCCCAAAATGTGGTAAGCATAACCTTCTCAGCTGGTGGCATAACCTTACACTTTGAGCTTTTTGGTTGAAGGTGAGCTGCCGTGTTTCCATTGCATTGACACACAATTTGATTCAAGTTGGTAATGATGCACCCATGGTTCAGCCCCAGTAACGATCCTGTTAAGGATATCTTCTTATAGATCTGCATACTGTAAGACTCAGAGATGTTGTAAGGACAGATCCATTTGGTTAATTTTTTCTTGATCCTTCAGTTCTGTGGGTACCTACCATGTGCGCACTTTCCGAAACTTTAAACAACCAGGTATTATGCTAATTGCTGAACCATGGGAACACCCTAGTGCAGTTGCTACACTGTCTGTCATTATCCTCCTGTCAGCTTCAGTGAACTGTGCACCCACTGTACACTGTACACTGCTTTCAAATAAGGACACATTTTCAAGTTGGTACTGACAGATAACCCAACTTATGAAAGGTGCCTACAAGAAAATGAATCAGCCANGGTCAGTTTTTTATGGAACCAAGTGACTTCTATGATGCCCCCATAAGCAGGGTCCTACACTTTATTGAAAGTGTAGGATTAATAAAGGGCTAATCTAAAGGGAAGCACAAAAGATCATTGAAGGTTGCAGTGCGGGGGCCAGTTACTATGGTCCACCCCTTACATACATTACATTACATTAGATAAATAGTAATTAAATTGTAAATACTCACATATGATATAAATCTATTTTTAAAATTTGAATATGGGCATAAAACGAGAGCTGTTGTTTCAAGTAGCCATTACTGTGTAATTGGATGTATTAGTATTTTATCGTGTCCTTATATGTTACTTCTTTCTAACTCTTTTCTGTGAGGGCATATAAAGGACATGAGGATGAGGATGAGACCTTGACATTCATTATATAGGGAAGTGATCAGCTTCTTAATGTAGCCCCTTTGACCCTGGGCAAACTGCACTCAGTATCCATTAGATGGGCTCCCAAACTTCGTTTTGATAAATATTGGGTGTTTTAGTTTGATGATTTTGGGCTTTTAATTAATTAAAACACAAGTCTATACCGTATTGCCAAAGTATGTTCTTGTAACCTACCAGCACAGATTTTGTTTCATGGACTCTGTGCCTACAAGGAGGTTAAAAATAGCTGCACAATTGGTAGTTTCCCCTTGTTAGTGACCCATTCCATAGATATGGTGCTAACAGAGAATAGTTACTTATTTTTCCCTAGAGATCTTGATAAATTATTCAAGAAACTGTCTGCAGTAAGTAGAGCTCTGTTCCATTCCAACAGATTGATGATTGTCGAAGAACACACAATTATGACGAGTTTATCTGCACATTCCTGTCTATGCTGGCACAGCAGGGCAAATTGGCAGATCTTGTGCAGCAGCATCTTGTGCAGCACAAGAAACCAGGACTTCCTCTTCCCAGAGTACAGAGGTGTGTAATCCATAGTATACTTCTGAACAAGCTGACTCAAATGATAATGCTTCCAACTTGTATTTGGAAGTGGCTGAGATACTGACTGTTCTGACTGCTATGTTTTCACATTTTCTTCAATCCCTCCAGATAACTGCTGTAATAGTATCTTGAATTTTGTCATTACTGCTTTCAGTCAAGTTTTTTAAGTTAATCATATGTGAACAAAAGTATCACTTCATGCTAATAACTTCTGCAGTTGATATGGCATTGTTAAATACCATTTGATTGATCCATCCATGCAAAATATGAAGATTCAAGTGAGTGTATAATGTTTAATAATGAAGTCCACTCATATCAGCAAAGTAGGTTGTACATATTATGAAATAATGGCATAAATGTTCTTGCTATATGTATTTATTCATTCTTTAACACATTCAGGACCGGAGGGGCCAATTGGCCCTCTACATTTCTATAGTGTTGTGGACCGGGCGGGCCAATTGGCCCTTTTCTGACGCGTTATGTTGCAACCGACTATATCTCGCTGTGTGGCCACGTTGCATCATAACTACTGCGTAGTTGACCTAGGGAATGTTTGCTAGCTTAGCCAGTAACATGATCACGCTCATTTCCTGTCACACCCTAAAGAAAATAGCCTTTGTTCTAGTCCAAGCTTCCACGTATGAATCAGGAAATTAGCAGTGCAACATGGATCAGAGACAAAAACAGTTGCAGGCAAAGCGTTCTCTCGGAGAACAAGAAATATTAGATTTGTTCTCCGATGAGGTATCAGATTTGCCAACTGCTTCGTCTTCTGATAGCGAGGCCAGCCTCAGTGAAAGTGACAGTGACAGGGGCCACAGGGCCCCCCAAAATATTGTGTCCAGTGAAAGTGAGAGCTCTCTTCACAAAGGGGAATGTTTCCAGAGATATTACATGCGCAAGCACTTCTAGGAGCTCTGGTAAGTGTTCTCCAAAAATTTTAGTTCATAAAATTAATTAGGAGATATTATATTAATTTTTAAAGTGAACAGTGCAAAAGTTAGGGTGCTAGGCTTAAAAATCCCGGTCCCCAGGATGATTTAAATATTTAAACAACCGGTCCGCAATGTGTTAAGTCAGTCAGACTGGAAACTTTACGGTGATGACTTTATTCTATTCATTTTGAGGATTATGATGATTTCAGCATAATGTACACTTCCAAAAAATGAGTGCATTTTGATCTCATAATATTTTTATTTCTTAGACCAGCAAAGAAACCTGAACCAAGACCCAGTTCTTCACGCCGTCGTCGTGGTCGCACCAAATACAGGAAACGCAAATAATTTTGACTCGTCTTGGTGGTGTGAGGATAATTCACATGGCGTGGATCATCTTATGTTGCATCATCCAGGAGGAGTGTTCATGAATTCCCTTCTTGATTGATTCATTTGCTTGTATTTATTCTTGCATGTAGCTTCTCAGTTGGTCCAAACTGTGTAAAGAAAGAGTACTTTGTTCTGGGATGTGACAGTATGTAGTCCATTAGTTACATCCCAGAAAATGGTATTCTTCATGGTGAGTGCTGTGAGACTCTCAATTCCAGTTAAGGGTATTTTCTGTAGTTTTCCTTGAGGGAGCCAGAAGTTTCATAGTTAATGAAAAATGAAAGAGTTCGTTATATGGGCTCATAGGTATCATATTTATTCTTCACTCATTTCAACCTGTTAAGCATGATCAGAAAGTTGTGTAAGTATAAAATGTATGTTGAAATGAAAGAGAGAATTGTGTTGACATGAAAACATTTCCAGCCATTCCCAGGAAACACAGAAAGCTTCCATGTTCTGGGTAAAATAGGATTGTACTTGTCTATAATATTGGCTGATGAATGAAAAGTTAGCATTTAAACTGAGGACAAACTTTAATTGCTGAACCATCTTGTGAGATTTGAGGTTCTTGTGACCATGTCTATGAAGATACTATCTGGTGGAATGTGATGCTATGTAGTTTTGTTATTAAGTACCCAAATTTCAGAGGAACCTTCCTCCATCTTCATGGGGAGAAACAGTTAAGAGATGGGGACAAGGATCTGGTCTAAGAGCAAGCTAGTGGGAATTTAATTGAAATGTATAGCCCTTAAAAGGGCTGGACAGGAAGATAGGAAGGAGGGTAAAAGGTGACATGTAAGGAAGGTGAGAGAAGTTATTCACATAAAAGTGAATGGTTTATAATGCATGTGGCATTATACACAAAAATTATGGACAGTGCTGTAATTTAGCAGAGAACATTCTTTCTTTTTTAGAATTTAATTGAATTTAGAATTGCAAATAGAAAAAAAAATAATGGAAGTATTTATTTGTTGAAGTTGACAGTATGAGATTGTCATTTACCGCATTCATTAATTTCGTGCGAATAGTGAGATAGTCCTTAAAACTTATGGGGAAGGGGGTTGGTTGTCTAGTTGTGGTGTGAAGGTGTACTTCAGGAATTCTTATGTTTTTTATTGCTATTGGGGTGGGACTAAGTCCCTTGTACTGAGGCCACTTCTGGCGTATTGTACCAGCCCCAGATGATAGACAAGGGTGATTGTGGAGCAATTGGTGAAATGAAGATTGGCAGGGGAAACTGAAGTACTTGGAGAAAACCTGCCCCAGTGCCACTTTGTCCACCACAAATCCCACTTGACCAAACCCGGGCCACCGCACTGGGAAACCAGCAACTAACTGCTTGAGCTGTGGCACGGCCAATTCTTATGTTGATTGCATGCCAGCTTCAGATATTCAGTAAGTATTTGATTTAGTTTATGTGTACATGATATGATTTTCATTTCATAACTCCAAGTAGTAGCTTGTTATCATTCTTGCCATGAATTTAATTGAGTTGTACTTGAGATATTCAGAGTTAATGCATTGACATGTGTGGGAGATTTTTTCCTTATGTGTGAAACTAATGAATATCCAATTATAACTTAGTAGAATCCATCAGTATTAGGTTTGCTGGATTCATATTAATCACGTATGTGTTGAATATTATGTTAAAAGGAAGTTCTTTTATGTGTTCATAACCATTACACCTTACCTTTTTTTTTGGTAGAAAACTGCAGATTAGTTGCTTCAGTTAAGACAGGTCTCATGAGAAATTTCCTTTGATTAATATCAAACAGATGGTTCGAAGCCAATTTACTCTCATTAAATTTTGATAAAACCCATTACATATCATTCACAACTAAAAACAACCACCAAATTGATCTGGACATCAGTTATGCCAACAAATTAATCTGTAAAGTACTTGATACAAAATTCCTTGGAATACATGTAGACAGTACACTGTCTTGGAAAATACATATTGAACAAATTATACCTAAATTAAATGCAGCTTGCTATGCGATGAGATCAATTAAGCCTTTTATGTCACAGGAAACATTGAAGATGGTTTACCATGCCTACTTTCATTCTATTATGAACTATGGATTAATATTCTGGGGGAACTCTTCACATAGTGTAATAATTTTTAAAATACAAAAGAATATAATAAGAATCATTACAGGATGTAGAAGTAGAGATTCATGTAGAGAATTATTTAAGAAATTAAAAATTCTACCTCTTCAATCGCAATACATATTATCGCTTCTCCTATTTGTTGTTTACAACAAAGATAAATTCAAATTAAATTCTGATGTCTATAACATGAATACTAGACAAAAATATAACTTCCACCTACCCTCATCAACTTTATCAGTATATCAAAAAGGAGTCTACTTTACTGGCATAAAAGTGTTCAACAATCTGCCACAAAGTATTAAAAACTTGGGCAATGATACTAAAAAGTTTAAATCAGAGTTAAAGAATTATCTACATGCTCATTCCTTCTACTCTTTAGATGAATACTTCAATGTAAATAGAGAATGATGTAAAATTAAGTTATATTAATTTTTAAGCTAAAATTGCCTGTACTTATGTATGTAACCTTTTGACTTGTTCTGTATCCAAAGGTACTAACCTGCTTAGGATATATAGAATGTAAATAAATTCAATTCAATTCAACACACCAGCACCCCTGATAAAAGAAGAGTCACTTTCAAGGAATCTTATCTCATTTATTAGCATGGACGAAGTTGACTTCTAGTCCTATTGATGAAATTGTTGATACCAAATTAAAGATGGAGAGAACTGTACAGTTAATGACAGAGAACAAGAGAGTTCTGAGAAATTCATATGCTATTCCTTTTGTGTACTGTCTGATTTGTGCTGTGGATACAGATCGCACTTCATTACCCCCATTGCCATGAGCACTTGGCTCTCAGGTCAGAGCAAGTACAGTTTTGTTTAGACTGGTTCTCTAATATGTTCCCATTTCTTGTAACAGCATTACTGTTATATCCATTGTCATATACTTTGTTGCCTGTAAGGAAACTTGAATGAAATATTATTTTAATACTGTACAACATATAAATGAAGAAAACAGAAACCTGCCTGTGTCAGAAAATATCTCTAGATTAATAAATATGGAGCAAAAAATATTATCTGTCACTATCTTTATTACCAGAAAATGAACTTCATTTAGATGTTGTTTTCTTTATGTAGCAGAAGCTGTCAAAAATGGAGCCAGGTTTGGTTTCTACAAATCTTTATCAGAAACTCTGTCAAATCCAAAGAATATAGATTGTAAAGTAATAAATTTTCCTCCTGTAAATGGAAAAACAGGGAAATAAAAACAAAAGATTTGGACAAAAAGCCATCTGTTTGAATATTTTTTCTGATACAATTTTCTTATCATTGTGATTGCCAGAATCTGTCTATGAAGTATATTCTTGTCACATATGGGAAAGAATTCAACAAAACACCTTAATATGACCTCTGGAGAAAGTGAAAAATAAAAATAAAACATGTGCTACTCAGAAACAATTGAGTATACCTTCAGAGCATTAATCTCTCTCATGTGGTTTTGCTTGCTAATACATGTGTAATTCAGGCTGTGAAGGATTTTTCTCTGGAAGTAAGTGTTCAATGTAAACCTGTTTGAGAAAGGAAAATGCAGAAGGCTCTTGGCACTCTGTTATAAGGAGATCTTATTATGTTATGATGCTGAGAATGTCCCTTTTGCTTTTGTGTTCTATAATTTCTTAACTCTTCCAGTTAGTACCAGATATAAATAAATCCTTGGACAAAACCCTCCATGCACTTTGTATGACTGACTATATAACAGAAACTCTGTGTAGCTCATGTGCATGCAGAAGTATGGCGCAATGGTTAACAGACATACACCTGCTGTCAATTTGTGTTTTCTTCTTATTAGTTGTTATTTGTTTGTTGGTACTGACTGTTAGAACAGCGATGAATTGCATGTTGGTGAGAATTACGATTTTTGGATGAAGGTGTCTTATACGTACATTTCAAGGAATCATTCAGACATGTTTCAGGAGTCCTTGCAAGTTTCATGAAATCTTTCATCAGGTGAGTTTGCCTCAGAAGTAGAGTCTAGTCCTTCAGCCTTCAAGACAGATTGAATATAAGCTCTTGAATTAACAGTCAATTGAGAGTCTGTCATGCATGTGTTGTGTTGATTTCTGCTTTATGGAAAATAGTGCCTGACAGTTATACAGAACATATGCAGAGTCGAGATAATTTCTGCCAGTTTATGCTCTTCCAGCCCTTGAATATTTGTTACCAAATAGCAAGCATCATGCTTTTTTCTATATTCTTAAAACAGAAACTATGAAATGGAATGGTGAGACTTTTTGTTGAACAGTTGGTATTCAGGTGATCAAGGAATTGTGGAGTCCAAAGGCTCATTCATAATGTTCAAAACATCATACAGATAAAAAATAATTACCTTTTAACTATTAATTCTATCCTTTACTTCAGTGGTTCTTTGAATTTAGGTTGCAGATTGCAAGTCAAATATCAGCTGAATGTATGTTGGATAACTGGAGCCTATGAGCTGCTTATAAGGCTGCATCCATGGCAAGTGTGCTGTTTACCCCATCCTAGTTCTGTCGCTACATAAGGCAACGTTGTACTTAATTTTAAACACTATGATATGAATGTGCATGCATGGTGTGGAGATAAATATTCATGCATTCAAGACTTCAATGTGAGGTGAAGGGAAATAATCACCTTCACACCCCAGCTGCCACTCTGGACAAAGAGCCCTCTGCATATGAGACTGAATGATCTAAAGGACCTTCTGCACATCCCGACAATGCAAAAAGTTCTGTGTCTTTGCTGGGAATAAAATCTGAATTGCTTTGGAGTAAATTTAATTTTTTGCAATAAGGAGAGATAAATGGACTTAGAGTTAATGAATAACAGCTATGTCAGCAGCTAGTTATTCTATCTAGGGCTGTCTCTACATAAGCAGATTTATATAAGTTTATTCATAACCATGTTGATATTTCATTTACTGTGTAACATATGTAGTTGATACATCATTGGCAAATATGCACACAGTCAGTAAATGAGATCAGACCTACATTTTTAAATAAATGTATTTGTATTATATTTTTAAAATTGATATTTAGTAGAGTTAATATCTAATTTCAGATGGGTTATGCATACTTCATGGGTGTGGGGTTATCTTAGGACATCAGAGCACAAGTCATTTTATAACTGAAATAATTGCATAACAGGATATAATTAAACATGAAGGTCTGTATCTAAAAATGACTTGTGTTTGAATTCCTTTGTACTGTAGTTTACTCATTTGAAACAGCTTGTTTTTAAGTGTAGCACTCAGCAGAAACATGACATGGAACACTCAGAATAGATGAGGTAAATATACAAATTTGAGAAAAGGTATATATTTATTAGGAAAATGTTTAAGAGTACACCCAAGAACAACAGACCCCATACTTTGTAGAGGTTTATGGCTCAAGCCTGCAGTTGATATCATTAAACTTGGCATTAGTTTAAGTAGTTAAATATTGTTGCACAATAAATGATACAAACTCCGTCCTAAGTGCAAACAATATATATTTATATGTCTTTGATCTTGTTGTTTCTACACTACATGTTTCGGCCTCTATCGGCCATCATCAGGTGTATACTCTTAACGTCGCTGCCACACTGAACCCAGTCTAAAACTTAACATTTAAAAACACAATGTCACTTTCTTCGTATTATCAACATCTACATCGTTGATATGTGTCTGGTATGTAGATTATGTTTCACACGTCGCACCCGATATTCTTGTAGTAGCACTCTAAAAATCTTTAGTTATGATGTTTTTAAAACCTTTTAAAATTTTTCTACAAATTTTAAATTTAAAATTTAAAATTCTTAGGGTTACTCGCCCTATGTCTACGTGCTGGAGCGGCTAGTTCTTGTTTTCACACTGTATAGGTGTTATCTGTAATATACAAATATTCGTATTATTATTTTATGTACGTAATATTTTCTGTACGTAATATTTTCTTATATGTGTATATTGTTATTTGTACTTACTTAATGTAGTCTTCTTGTGTGAGTGCCGNGTGTTTTTAAATGTTAAGTTTTAGACTGGGTTCAGTGTGGCAGCGACGTTAAGAGTATACACCTGATGATGGCCGATAGAGGCCGAAACATGTAGTGTAGAAAGAACAAGATCAAAGACATATAAATGTATATTGTTTGCACTTAGGACGGAGTTTGTATCATTTATCGTGTAGAGTGCAACAGGATGCTTAAATATAATATTGTTGCACAAGGTTTGTGGAACACTCACATGTATGTACTCATATACATAACAGGTTAAATAAAAGTTTAAAAACTTCAGTGTACATTATCTTGAAACTGCTCAAAATGTTACCCACTTGCCTCATTAAAATCACTTCTCCTGATGCTGTTAGAATTTAAATGTCTTTCACATTTTAAAGTGTAACAGAGGACTTCTAATTTGATTGTGTTTTACCACAGTAGGTATAACAGAGTGTTCATATCACTGGAGATAAAGTAAGTACAAGTTATTTTATGGACTGGTATCTTGTAATCAGTTTTGCAGCTAAGCAAAGTGGAAATACAGAAGATAAAATTATTAGGAAGAAATTCTCCCCCCCTCAAAAAAAAAAAAATTAAAGAATGTAATCGGAATACACTGTGTAGGAGCTGAGATTCTCATAGCTATTGCTATGAAGAGAGATATATGGGATATAACACTGCATAGATTGCTAAATGTCCGTCAGCATTTCTTATGAACATGTCGCCTCCAAGTTCAGGTTTGAAGAGAGAGCCAGAGAGGCAAAAAGCAGAGCTGGATAAGAGAATCCGCTGTAAATATGATTGTATATAGAGTCACACATGTATGTTTGTATGTGCATATTTAATAGAGAAGACGACATTTCATATCTTATGGAAAAATACTGTACACTTGTTTGATTGCATGATTGTGGGAAGTCAGTGAGAGGGTGCAGTTAGATTTGAGAAAAAGGATGGTGTTTGGAAAGACAGAATAAATACCTTGTACATCTCCTGAATGTTCCCCTTGTAGCTTGCAAGAAATTTGCATCGGGTCAGTCCTGAAATGAACATGTAACGTACCATAAAACTGTAAGTCAGTTAAGTTTGTGAAAAGAGTTCTTAGTGGAAAATGTACAGAATGTTTCAAAATGAAGTTTATATTACAAAGACCAGACAATTCTGTTTTATACTCCTCTGTCCATAAATATCTGTCACTGGACTAGTCCTGAATTCAGTTTTAACACCAGTATTCATCTTGTCCCCTCATTGCTATTTGGATAATTTACCTTGATAATCTTTTCATAGCTTATGGGAGGTTGAGTTGTCATAGCCCACTGTTAGTGTTTGTGTTTGAAGAGCTTAAATAAGATTTGAGGCTTTCATGATGATAAAGATCCATATTCTACTTTTCTGTGGATTTCTGCAGCAAACTAGGAGATTTTCCTGTTTCTAAGAACTCTGGCCCTTAGTATCATGATAACGTACTTTATGGCCCCAGTTGACTACATACAGAAACAATGTAATTACTGTGCTTACAATTAATTCAATATTAAACTTATATGAGTATATTTTGAATTCATAAGTTTTGTCATAGCTCCGAAATTGTTCTCGTACATTAGATATATTATGAACTTCAGTGTTAATCTTTTAAGGAAGAATGTGTTTCAAATTCTTGAGGTTCATCATACTACTCCAATAATAGCATTATAATGTAAGTTGTGGGCAGAAGATATGAAGTTGAATACATCTGGTGGAAACAGACTTTTCATTCAAGTTAACCAAACGTCAGCTTTTCTAAAAACTTATCAATAGAAGTCTTGTATTCACAATGGTCCATTGCATTTCAATAAGGGGCTGTTGTATTGATGTAAATGAAATATTCATACTTCACAGGCACTGCTGAGAAACTTTCTCCAACTGGATATGAGTGAAGTGATATTATTAAAGCCCCTTCCAAAAGTGGAGTAAGAACCTCTACAGTACAAGAGAGCAGGGTGGCAAGATTATTCACCGCTGTTTTATGAGCACGCTAGTCGGGTGCCTAGTACGATAGGCAAGTTGGGAAGACAAGTACGATAGTAGTTAACTATCTTACCGACTACACCCTCGGCAGTGGCTACAGCCATTTTGCAGGAGTATCCTGAACGAGGAAAATAGATGACAGAATAATGCACTGGGACGTCGCAGCTACAACATTGTCATGCAAATACATGAAGTTGCATGTCTATGTTATTTGTCTGTGTGCTTGGCAGGTTGACGTGTCGTGTGTTGCAGGTTGTGTTTGCGCAAGAAATTTATATGTAATTTGCCCGCTTTGGATCTCTGTGAATTACATTTTTGCGAGCATGTTAACAAAATTTGAAACAAAGTCAGCTCGTGTGAAGGGACTGTCATTTCATCCTAAACGTCCATGGGTTCTATCAAGGTACGAATTTATTTTGTCATTTGTCGGTACTAGTATAAATTTAAAAAATGTAATTTGTCTCTTGCATTGTATTATAAACCACAGTACAAGCCCTGTAACATATTATGGGTAACGTTCACATCATTGGCTAGGATCAGAGGGCTCAATTTGAGGTTTTATTTGAAGCGAAATACAGTGAAAGCATGAAGACCCCCCCCCCCGATATTTTGTACAGGGGCAGTAGATGAATGAATGAACAGACGATTTGTAAAGTGTTATTCATGATTCCTTGCAAAAGAAGTTACTGGGTTTAGGTACTGTGGTGAACCCAGAGCACAAAATTGGCTTTCGTTCACGTTGTGTTATTCCTAAATATTAAAATTAAAATTGTATTAATTTATCCTTGCTTAATGTGTATACATTTTTATACACCTGCAGGCTCTTAATCACGTTTATAGTCAAGTGAGTGGAACTGCTGCTTTGTGTTTTGGAAGTCTTGATTGATTGTAGATGAATAGATAAATAGGTAGGTACATGCATTACATAGAAAAAACTTGGGCAGTGATACTAAAAAGTTTAAATCAGAGTTAAAGAATTATCTACATGCTCATTCCTTCTACTCTTTAGATGAATACTTCAATGTAAATAGAGAATGATGTAAAATTAAGTTATGTTAATTTTTAAGCTAAAATTACCTGTACTTATGTATGTAACCTTTTGACTTGTTCTGTATCCAAAGGTACTAACCTGCTTAGGATTTATAGAATGTAAATAAATTCAATTTAATTCAATAGAGGCTACAAAGCAGGACATAGGACATATCAGTTTACCATATATCACGTTCCAAAAATACCTAGGAATACAATACAGTTACAGAATATTTCCAAGAAAATAATATCATACAGTAGACTAGACCATATGTACAGAGACTTTCTTGAACAGCTGAATAGCCTGACACTTAGTATTGCCCTGTTAGCTGGATCTTTAGCCATCATATACTGAGACATTAGAGCCTTAGGTTATGGCTAATATGCTGTGTGCTATAAACATAGACATGAATGTCTTAAAATAAATTTGTTAGAGGAACTTGTGATCACAGTAGATGCTTAAAATGCCTTCCTTCTGCTCTTCACCAAACTTAGAGCTCTTGAAAACATTATTTGACATTAGTTTGAGTTTACTGACCTCGATATATGTAATTATTCCACAGATGTTAAGCTTGAATTCGTCCAGTGTGTGGCAATTAATGAATACACTTTGTATTTTTAGGTTTTCCCACACTTAGAAATCACTTTGTATCCCATAATCTGTGATGTATCAGCTGTTGTAAAAGACCTTGTTTAAAACATCAATAATAATGTGTGCCCTAGCACCATTTTGCATAAAATAATTATATGTCCTTTCTTTTTCCATATTGCTCTCAAAAAGGGCTGAAGAACATCACTGACACACTGATCCAAATTAATAGCATGTTCAGAAGATATGGGTCCTACAATTTTTAGGTTCTAGATTGATATTACTTCAGTACCTATTGATCAGAGCATTGATATACCCACTCAAGTGGAAACAGACTCCATCGTTAAGGAATATAAGATTTTGGTCCAGAACACCGTCATGTGCTGCCCACAGAAACAGTTTTTCCTCTCATAATTATCTTTTTCAGTTAGTTCAATATGTGTAATTTTATACAAGACAGAGATGTAACTTTTTTTATACTCCCACAGTGTTGTTGAAATGTGTGCATCTTGAGTTAGCTGTATTACGGATTAGCAAGAAGAATTTTCCGATCTGGTGCAAGACTTTTCCTCAGCACAGTATTCTGTTAGCATATTTCTGTATAAGAAAGATCCAGGTGAATGCACTTTGTTCATCAATTCAGAAATCATTATGCAGCTGGAACTGAAGCATCAGGATACCCATGGCAAAACTTTCTTTTACATGATTTAAATGATTTATTTGTCACAAAAGTGTTGTATAGAAGTACCTGCTATTCAGGTGTGTATTTCACCAACTCAAGTTAGTACTGCTTATGGATTGTGAGATGCCCCTCAGTGAATCACTGAAGCTGGAGGCTGTGAATGTGGCAGCTGGACTAGCAGGGAAGCTGCAGGAGGTAAGGGCTGGAACCACCATGAGAACAGGGCTACCAGTGACAGCGCTGTAGGATTGGGTGACAAGGACAAGTTGGCCTGCACCCCAATGATGAGGAGAAGATAGTGTTCTGTACCAAATGGGGGCTGTGGCAGTTCACAGTTATGCCTTTTGGCCTTTGCAGTTCTCCAGCAATATTGGAATGTCTGATAGAATCCATCTTAAGGGGCTTTACTTATGAAGCCTTCCTTGTATACCTTTATGATGTGACTGTTGTTGACTGGACATTCCAGGAGCAGCTTGACAAACTGCAGAAAGTGTTCCAAAGATGCTGAAGGGCCCACCTCAAACTGAACTGAAGGTGATACAATACCTGGGACATATTATGTCACCAGAAGAGTGATTACAGACCAAAAGAAGCTGGAGGCTGCAAGGAAGTGGTCACTGTCCCAAGATGAATATGAGTTGAGATTTCTTGGCCTATGTGCCTAGTGTTGGGGGGGTTCATGGACACTGCTAGGCCACTGATCCAGTTCACAGAAGAAAAGCAGACTTTCCAATGGTCTTCAGAAGCAACAGCTGCCATCTGGTCCTTGAAGAAGTCCTTTTGAATGGCAGTCATCCTAGGATCTATGTGGCCAGGTGAATGGTTCATTGTTGACATGGTCATGAGAAGCATGGGAACTGAAAGCAAGCTGTTTCATATGCAGGAGGGCCAGGAGCTTGTAGTAGTGTACTGCAGCAGGACCCTATCAGTGGGCTGACAGGAACTACTTCATGACTTAACAGGAGTT